CCCCCCCATAGCCACCTTTTTTTTGTACGCGGGGGATGCCAAACTAAAATTTTCCCAATTTTACTTTTATTATATATTGCAATACATAATTTAAATGTATATACGTGAATGTATATAGGTCAAATGACTGTAATAAATAAATAAATAAATATTGCATTTTAAATGCAGCAATAACGCTGCATAAGGTCCAGCAAGTTAAGAACCGATTTATAATGTGGAACGAGTATGCTAGTTTATTACAAAACCTTTAGTTATTGAATCATGCGCTAAGTGCGCAAACTGGTAAGGAAACGTCAAATACAATAGGTGGATTCTTAGGTATATAGTTGATATCACAAGTTGATGCATTCACGTATATAGTGTTTCCGTCTGAAGTAATTCCATAACCTTCATGAATATGACCAAAAACATGATATTTGGGTTTAACACGTTTCTGAACTGTGTTTAACAATTCAACGCAGCCGGCATGTATGCCAGAGCAACACAAATCTCCATGACCGACTGGAGGCGTATGAGTCACTAATATATCTACATTATCGGGTATAAGATTCCATTTGGTTAAGCACGCTTCACCTCGGGGCAAGTTAAATGCCCATTTGCAAAACTCTGGTTGCCAAGGAGTACCATATATACGAATTCCCATAACATTAATTAACTGGTCCTCCAAATAAGTACAATGGGATAAGACTTCCTGAATATTTTTTGCTTGCAAAGCGCTTTCAATGTCCTCTCTACGATTCCCCAACATCGGCATATTTTCAAGACTCAAGCGTCCGGTGTGTTTTGTCCTATCCATATTTAAAGAAATACAAATTACTATACATACATATTATATTAGGTTATTTAGGTTAAATAATATATCGTCGTTTAAAGAACAAAACCGCGTATCGTCGTTCTGCAAAACCGCGTAACTGACATTTTTTGCCAAAAATTGGATTTGCTCAAACAAGCTCTTAGCTCAATCCTCTTCCAATCGTCCAGAAATATACCAGCCTGAAATGCGATTGCTTTATAAACGATATTTAAGCAAAAAACAAAACCGACTTCAATTCTCATATAAAAATACATATAAATATATTTATACATATTTCATGATCCAATGATCGGATCTAAGCCAGATTATTATGGGACCAGCTTTGAGACACTACCTTTCCGATGCAAATTGCAGAGTTATCGAAATCGGTTGACGTGGTCCAAAGTTATGCGGTAACCTACATAAAAAAATAAATAAAAAATAAAAACTAAATAAAAAAATAAAAAAGATTCCGACGAACCTTCTTTAGAACTCTGTTAAAAAGAGAACTATTTTGGGTAAAAGTGCACTTTAGCGGAACCAGGCGTCCAACTCCTTTTTGCGTAGGCGGCCTTCGGGATTATAACCCTCAGGCAGTAGATTCTCCTTACTGTGTTGCCAAAGAAGGGGGGCTGAACACCTTTTGCAGAGAACACCTTTCTGCGTAGGCGGGCTTCGGCAGCACTTAGGGATTATAACCCTCAGGCAGTAGAATTCTCCTTTCTGTGTTGCCAAAGAAGGGGGGCCGAACACCTATTGCAGAGAATAACTTTCATTTAATCCATTTATTTGCATCAAATTCATCAAAACATGGTGCGAAAAGTGCAGTGCGTGTTTTTTGTGAATAACTGTTAAATTAATTAAAAATCTTAATTATCCCACTGGATTGTGCGAGTTAAAACGCGTCGATTGATACCACTCTCAACTTGTTCCGTCCATTTTGACATGGTTCCCGTAAAGTGCACTACTAATCTATTTTGAAATGTGAGTGTTTTTACTCTCTAGAAAATAATTTATGCAACCTCACATACGCGGTTTTGCATTTTGTTGATACGCGGTTTTGTACTGTAAACGACGATATAGGTGTAATAGACATACCGACTATTATGGGATCCGTCAAGGAATTCTGTAAAGTTTTTGTCAAAACTTAGCTCGTGATTCCCCGCTATGACTAATTTATGTTTATGAGGAAGTGTAGCAATCCAGTTATTAAATTCAATAACTTCTTGAAGTCGACCACATTTAGTGAAGTCACCGGCATGAATAAATATATCGCCATTTGGTATATCAAACTTCAAATAAGAAGTTAAAGAATGTGTATCACTCATACACACGACACGGACCTTTCTGGAATCCTTTTCTGCTAGCGGTCGACTTAATGATATTTTAACAACACGTTGAAATTTTGAAATCTCTTTCCATGCTGCCGTCGGATCGTGTGATAACGGGTGAACAGTTATTCGATTCTCCATTACTCCTTTTACGAAGGCCCTAAAGTAGCAGGCCAAATAAAGCGCCGTCTACCCTAGAAATCTTCCAAATACATTCCACCTTAGGAGCAAACCTTTCAAGAATTAATTTCTAAATTAATGGATCCGCTTTGCTGTTTGATTATTAAGGTTGCTCCCTTATTTTAAGAAAAACTTACTTGGTGACACATGCGACGAACTAGTGGTCCGTGTATGATCTAGAGAGCATCAAGCTGCCTCATTGTCCTTTTTTCAGGACAGTTTTANTCCGTGTATGATCTAGAGAGCATCAAGCTGCCTCATTGTCCTTTTTTCAGAGCCTATAACTCTATGGGCTGAGGGTCAATTCCCGTTCTGCGTTATCGTGAAATGAAGTGAAAAGTATAAAAATAACACCGAAATAAATGCGGTGTGAAGGTGTTATTTTTATCACTGCACGATAACGCAGAACGGGAATTGACCCTCTGGTTTCTCCAACTCAACTTATTTTAGCCAATTTTTTAGACTTAGTCAAGAATAAGCTGTGTAAAAAAAGTAGGCTAACTTTCGACTTAAAGCTCAGTTATGCAAGACTTAAGACTTGACTTGACTTGAAAATTGTGTATCTGGCAAATGAGCAGCGCGTTACCCAAAAAAACAACTTCACTTAGAAACTTGGAGAACTATAGATTTTTGATTTCTAAGTGCAAAGAGAGCCCTGAGAGAGTCATGCTGCCATTTCATTTTTTAAAAAAATCCCTACAAATATGCCACATAAAAAAATTTTTTTGTATAAATGTAATTCATCTGGCAAACGAAAAACAAACTTTCAAATAAAGACAGAAAATATAATAAAAGAAATCACAATTCGATACGCGTAAACATGATAAAAACATAACAAGGTAAAACCATTGAGAGGCAGTCTGACGTTTGCCAACAATATAATTTTAAAATCAAAACTCAAACTCACACACACAATCTCATTTTCAATCTCAAACAACAACAATTGTGAACAATTTAATTTTTTTATTTTCAGTTTTATGATTTTAAAATGTTGGCAAACGTCAGAAAAAAATCATGGCCGATGAAATGAGAGAATGAATTTACCTTGTAATGTTTTTATCATGCGCGTAAATACATTTTTTTTACTGGTAATTTTGTATTCATTCTGGTGTAAAGTCAAATTAAACGTTTGCAATTTAGGTGTACAAATACAAGTGCTGATATTGAAAAGAAAAAGAAAAGGTAATNAAAGGTGTGGATAATAGTGAATGGTGGTATTTTAAAACAAAAGCGAATTTGATTTAATTATTTAATTTAAACAAGCTTATTTACATCGAATATAACCCCCGATTGTTATTGAAAATAAATATTTCTATGTATATACCAAACTTGCGTACGTCAGATGGCGCATAACTCGAGAATGGATGGAGGATGGTCCACTTTCAGCTTTTTTTTTGTTGTATTTGTTTGCCAGATGATGGATATGAAGAAGCTATTTGTTTGTGGAAAATATGCAGTATTTATTAAACAAAAAAAAAACGGCACATATAAAAATTTGGAGCTTACGTTTCCTTCGCGGATATGGCTCGATTGTTTCGAATATGGTAATTCGAATTCTTTGATGTCGCACTTTTAATATTCTGGGGAGACTATACAACTGTCAGAATATTAACCATTCGCCGGGTTGCCCGAAAAAAAATTTAATGATTAAAAATATCAAAATATAAAAAAATATAAAAATATTCGCCATAAAAAGGCGTTTGCATTGTTCAACTTTGCATTCTACTTTCAACTAATCGCTTTCAACAAAGTTGGTCGCCAGCCAACATTCGCCTCGTGCGTAAACCTTTTAAGTGTGCAATTACATACATCGTGCCATTGACTAAACCGAACTGTCGTGTGACGATTGGGCCTATGGATGCGGTTTGGCAATGTTATATTGCGTCAAAGCCTCATTCGGAGACACCAGGATACCTTCGTTGGCTCATTTACCAAAACCATTGCATGCTTTACTTTACAGCGACTTGGCAGAATCAAGAGGTCTCCACGAATATCGACAAATATATTTCGGCATTTAAGGGAATTTCGTTTTTTTAGCCTACATTGAATTTCTGTAGTCCAACGATGCTCAACCATTTTGTCTTGTTGGCGCCAGCGAATGAAGAACAAACATTTCTTCAAATTTAATAAGTAAAAATTTCACTACTAACAATTTAAAAATGTTCTTAAAACTTGCAAAGATATTTGGAAAAGAAATATCACTGTTTTTGTTTTTAGGAGTATGGTGGGAGTGTCATTGATAAAATTAGAGCGAGAGAAAGTTTTTCTTACAAAACCTTTCATTATTGAATCATGGGTAATAGGTGACACGACGAGTAATCGTTTCTAAGTTTCTAGGTAAGTCAAGTCAAGTCTAAGTCTTGCATAACCCAGCTTTTAAGTCCAAAAACTGGCTAAACTAAGTTAAAGCTCTGGTAAAATCATGAAGTGTCAAGCAATCACTGGTTGACGTTTTTACAGGAAAAATGGTCTTTTTGTTCCCGTACTTTTTGTTGTTACTCACTTTTTACTCTCACTTCAGAGTAATTTTGCTGTTTGACAGTTTTACAGGATTTTTCACGAAAAGTATCGGATCAGAGCTTAAGTTGAGACGGTGAAACCAGCCGTCTTTTCGGCGAGTGGTGTTTTTATATACACCCGTTTGCTGTAATCCGAAAGTTCGTAGTTACGAATTCGTGGCTCGGCTCCGAAAATTCAAAAATTGCGTTGCCAACTAAAATAGTGAAATGCGCAGTCCTTAATCAGCAGCATACCAATTCTACGATTCGTAGCAAAACCGAAACTACGACGAATTACAGAATAGGGGTGATAGATTTTTGTATATTGTGAGTTTTGCACCTCTAAACTATCGATGGCACTATCGATAGTATCGATGTTTTTTTATTTTTTGAACAAATGCAGTTGGGCTCCAAATCTCAAAAAAAAAATAAAACTATATTGGAATCGATAGAGATGATTGAGCTGAGTATAACGGTATACTTCTTTTTTTGGGCAAACAACAACAACAAAAATTATCAATGGTTAAAGTTCAAAATAAGCAATTTTTGAAATCAAGATTTCTTAAAAACGGATGGATGGATCTTGATCTCTTTTAATAGGAAATTTGATTCCCTTTAATTTGGTGTACGTACCTTATATATATGTTGTATAGTTCTTACAAAAATTGAATGAATGTAATATAATTATAAAAAAACACCTTTTGCGGAGAACACCTTTCTGCGTAGGCGGCCTTCGGCCGCACTTAGGGATTATAACCCTCACTACGTAGAATTATTTTTCTGTGTTGCGAAGAAAAGGCACTGAACACCTTTTGCAGAGAACACCTTTCTGCGTAGGCGGCCTG